CTTCAATTACCCATCTCTCAAGTGGTCAAATTAATAATGATCAATTTGAAGTATTAAAAGAGTGTTTTATGATATATATATAATTTTGAGATATATATAATATTTTGTATTTATGCTTTTCATAAGCTTTACATCTATAGCAAGGATTCAAATTGCGATCGCGGCTGCGTTTTTGGTCGTGTTGAGTTTATCGCGGTCACGGATGCAACGGATGCTATCACGGTCACTGCGGGTATTGCGAACGTGAATTCTTTTTTAAATTCACACAACTTATTATAAAATATAGTAATTATAATTATAGAAAATCACTTTTAACAATTTTAGAGTATTTTGTTAACTTATAGACTTTTATTAATACATAAACACAATTTTTACCATCATTAATTATTTTTGTATTTATTTATAAATTTCTTAAGAATATTATATTAACTCATAACAACCAATTATACAAGAAAATTAATAGTTTATGTATTAAACACGTAATTTACTTATTATATTTTAAGGCATAAATCAAGTATTGATCTTAATTTTTTTAGTTTAATTTTCTTTTAAGATCTTTCTATTTTAAAATTAATGAAATTAAAATCGAATTTCCTTAGTTATTAGAATTTAATTATTTTTAAGACTTTATATATTTTGTTCTTAAAAAAATTACCGGATTTTATTAGAAAAAAGACTAAACTAAAACAAATAAAGTCCTCCGGCTGTAACCCATTACATCTTATCTAAAGCAACCTTGCATTGGTCAACAAAATAGAATAGGAAATTAAAATTTATCCAGTCGTTTCACCTTCTTGTTCCTTTCGAAATGTGTCATTGAAAAACTTACAAGAAAGCTTTAAAATTTTTGTTGAGCTTGAAGTTCTCTGAACCTCCATCTTATACATAAAGATTCTGTAATCGGCGTCTATCCTCCTTTGCTTGTTTCACTGGTATATCTGGAATTTCCTCAACCAAAAGAAATCTTCTTCTTCATCCCTTTTTCCTGATGCGAGCATGGTGATGTTTGGTGTTGTAAAGGGAATTAACGGGAAAAATAGTCTGTTATAGCCGTGATCGATCGTTACCCGTTAAATTGCGGCCGTTATGGGTGTGATTCCGTTTCACACCATGATTTCGGCTGATATTAATAACGGGGGCTGCCGATATCACAATATAACGGCCGTTATACCGTTACATAGCCATTTTTGAATCCCTGATCTATAGTGTATTATCATTTGTTGTATTCGTGAAAATAAATAAAATTGAATTATGATAAATTTTATCTTTTATGTATCTCTTATTCTTTATTGTTATTACTTTTAATCTATTATCGTTTACAAATTTCTAATATACAAAAGTCTATTCGATCCTATCTTATTAACTTCCAAGTATTTTCTTTACTTTATTGTCCTATTACTTGGTTCAAATTTTGAAAGTTATTTGAAAAAAGATATTAAATCTTAAGTTATATTAGGGTAAAGTATATAAACGGTCCATCGACTATAGGGTAATACTTTGTTGAGTCCCTCGAAAAAAAACTAATTTATATCAGGGTAAAGTATATAAACGGCCGCTTGACTATAAGGGTGTGATACTTTGTTGAGTCCCTCGACTATTCGAAGTTACAAAATGATCATCCAACTATAGAATGTTGATTTATTAAGTCTCTCGACTATTAAAAGTTACAAAATGGTCACTCGACTATTCATTATGTTATAAACTCGTCCTTTTCTGTTAAAAATTAACAACAATTTAAGTTGAATGTTAACTTGCTGACTGTAATATGATAAAATTCGATGTTAGAATCTTAAACGATTATCATATCTCAGTCATCATGTTAACGTACAACTCAGACAACAATTAATTTTTTAACAGAAAATGACGAGTTTATAACATAATGAATAGTCGGATGACTGTTTTGTAACTTTTAATAGTCGAGGGACTCAATAAAGAACACTCTATAGTTGGAGGATCATTTTGTAACTTTGAATAGTCGAGGGACTTAATAAAACATAACCCTAGTCGGGGGACCAGTTGTGTACTTTACCCTTTATATTATCAATGGAGCACTTAATTTTTTATGGCATACAGTTATAGATTTTCAATTAACAGTCCACAGTTATACTCTACCATCAACATGCATATTGAATTTTATTTGTTCTATATAATATTAGTATTAATTAATTAACATTAACATATACTAGTATTTAGAATCATTGGTTATGTTTTATATTATCAACTAATTCAAAAAATGTGTTTCACATCACCAACTAATAATATTAAAATTTAACCAACAAGCAGTTGGTCTAGTAGGATGAGACACTATGTCCCTTAAGCAAGGTTAGGGGTTCAAATCTTGACGTTTGCGAATGGAGCAAACTAGGTTGGGAGGGTCGCCTCCGCCTCTGCAGTACCCGATCTGGATTAGTTGGTCAATAGATCGGGGACCAGTAATTAATTAAAAAATATTAAAATTTAAATATTAAAAGAATTTTTCATACCTACAATTAATCATTTTTAATAAATTAATGTTCGTTAATATGATTATTAGTGAAACTAAATCAAGAAAAATATAACTGATAAAAAGAATCAAAATTAAGACCTCTTTTATCTCCTAAGTTTATCCTTGAATGACCTTAGTAGTAAAAGAAAATATTTTTTTTAGAGGTTCTCGTCTGGGTAATTGCGTCTACATAGGGCGTGTGAATTGTTAATATATTAAACAAATATTATCTCGTACTATTTAAGAAACCATATCAAAATAATATTTTAAAGAATCAAACCTGATATTCTGATTAAAAAAATTACTATTAAATCAAATTATATAATTATTATATTTTTAATCAAACTATAATATCTATATCTAATCATCATATTATTCCTTAACTATAATTAAAGTATGAGTGTATGACGGTCCATAAAAGCTACATATCTAGAAAGAGAAAAGAACAGATGCAAAATTATGTATGTTATTAGAGTAACAGTGAGGATTGCAAATTAAGGTTTAAAACACCACAATCATATAAAACTTACACCCAATAACCTTACTAAACGTGACAAATTATTGGATCAACAAAGAATATTTTATTTTATTTTTGATTGTTCTTAGCAAAGGAAAAAAAATTAAAAAGTCGGTATAATCATGCAAATTATCAACTAAGCTTCAAGGTAAAATAGTGATTTCAAAATATTGAACTGGAGTGGGACAAGACAACCGAATACTAAAATTTACTCTATAGCCGGCTTCAAAAGTAAAATCAAATAAGAACTCTCTACCTCAGCCATTTCCTCTTTAAAATAATATTTTATAATAATATTATTTGATCTTTAGATTATTATAAATTAGAGTTAAATGATAAAATTCAATAGAACTTTAGTAATGAATTTAATACAACTTAGAAAAATCTAATACCTTATTATGTCAGTGACAGATCTAGAAATTAAATAGTAGGATCCAAAATTATAATATTCTATTTAAAAAAATGGGTATGCAATTTTTTTAATAATGGTATCAAAACAACGAGTGAAATAAAATTTTATGTATCAACTTAAATAGTAATTTTTTTTCATATATCAAATTGAGAGATAATACTTAATCTAAACACTTATTTGTGAGATAAAAAATTGATACTAATTTACAAATTAATACTTGATTCAAACTTTATGTGTTAAATATCCGATTGAATTACCATAATAAGTTAATCAAATATCAATTTTTAAAATAGAGATTGAAAAACTTCTTTCTTAAATGACAATTAATAATCTTTAGATGGTATTCTTATTTTTACATAAATTAGTTGATCCTATTCTCATATGTAATGAAGTAAGGGGGAGGTAGGGTAGTAGGTTGTCCCCCAACTTCATATTGAGAGCAGTTTCCGTAGAAGATATCCGTTATGAATTACCATCAATGAGACTCGATCCCACGACCACAAGGTTAAGAGTCTTGCATTCTACTAACTGAGCTAGATTGGCAATTTGTATTCTTATTTTTACGATGTTATTAAAAGGATATCTAGAAATGACCATCCAGCTCAGTTGGTAGAGCACAAGGTTCTTAATTTTGAGGTCGTGGGATCGAGTCCCATGGAGGGCATTTCATAATTTGGAGGTCTCATACGGAAGTTGCTCACAACCTAGTGTTGGGAGCAGTCTACTATCTTATCTCCCCTTACCCTATTATATATGGGAACAAAGTACATCCATTTTTATTAAAAGGATATGGCCCCACAAAACTGATGATCAACAAACGACAAATGGCCGTGATCAAACGGTCCAAACTCACAGTAAATTAGATCCTCTGGCAGCTGTACGTGTCGTAATATAATTAGGGCACAGCGCTCAACATAATCTATCGCACTCACAATCTAAAATCCCTTTTTTTTTCTTGTCCTCTACGTTTATATCCCCTTAAATTTCAAATTTACCCCCCGCCTCATTGCCATCGGTAACAGCAGCAATTCCCAATATCACCGAAAATCGTGGGACAGGGGAAAAGGAGGACACAATAATTTCACGTTCCTGTAGCGTGTCAAAACGAAATTTATCCACGTAATTAAGGATAAATTATGCCACGTAGGATTCAAGGTGGATTACTAAGTCCAAGTCAGCCTTCTCCTCAGAAAAAAAAATATAACATAAATATAAATTTTCGACCTCTCTAGTAGAAAAAGGCCACAGCCGTATTGCCTTTCTCCTTCATTCTCCCTATCTTCTTCATCATCATAAAAAAACTTCCAGCTCCTATTCACAATGCATGTTCCGGCGAACAGTTGTTTTCTATCTATACGCTATATTCGCATATCCGATAACCGTCGCCATGTCTTTCACGAGACAACCTAACCCTTTTTGTTTTAAAGCAGCTTCTTAAGTTTTTAGCTAAGAAATGTGTATGGATCTTTTATTTTTTGGTTAGATTTTTTAAACAATTTTTTAAGGTCAGTTTTCTTTTTGGAGGTTCAACTTTTTTTGGATGTACATGCAGATGAAACCAGAGTCATTAGTTGATTAGATTTTTTTTCTTTTCAGCTGAGTTTTAAAGTTTTCAAGATTTTGACTAGCAAAAAACGCAGAGAAGCAGGGTTTGGAGAGAGAAAGAGAGAAGCTCTAATCTTTTTTCTCCGATGAAGGTACAGCCGATTGACATCGATGCACGAGCGGAGAAAGAAACTGCTCCGGCTCGAGCAGAACCGGTGAAGCCGGTTCTAAAATCTCTTCTTAAAAGAATCTTCGATCGGCCGTTTCCGAGCGTTCTGCGAACATCAGCCGCGGATAAGCCGAGTATTGGTGAAACTCAGTTCAGCAACAAAGATGGAGCGACCGAGTTCGAGCCGAGTTCGATTTGTTTGGATAAAATGGTTCAAAATTTCATCGAAGATAGCCACTACGACAAGCAACCGCCACCAGCTAAATACGGCCGTAATCGCTGTAATTGCTTTAACGGAAATAGCAACGAGAGCTCCGATGATGAGTATGATGTGTTCGGCGAGTCGTCCAACGGCGGATCACCTCCTGTAGATGCTTGCGAAGCACTCAAGGTAGATCTTTCTAAAAAAGGAAGTTCAAAGAAATGTCAGTTCTATTTTCCTTTATATTCAAAATAATTGAGCACATTTTTTCGTTTTCCTTTTTTTATATTAAAAAAAAGCAGAGTCTGGTACAATGTGCCACCGTCGTCGAGAGAAATCTCTTAGCTGACACGGCGATGATCGTTGAAAAGAACAAAAACTGTAAACGGAAAGACGATTTGAGGAAGATCGTGACCGACGGCTTAGTTTCTCTTGGCTATAGCTCTTCAATTTGCAAATCAAAATGGGACAAATCTCCATCTTTCCCCGCCGGTAACGTCCTTTCGTTCTAGATTCTTCCAAAATTGAAAATGCAATCACTAAACGGAAATTAATTTTTTTAAAAATTTTAGGCGATTATGAGTATATAGATGCGGTTTTTGTGGAAGAGGGGAGAATGTTGATCGACGTTGATTTCAGATCGGAATTTGAGATGGCGCGATCAACCGGGACCTACAAAGCGATCGTCCAATCGCTGCCGTTCATTTTCGTCGGAAAACCTGACCGACTCGACAGGATCGTTTCGATCGTATCGGAAGCGGCTAAACAGAGCTTGAATCACAAAGGCATGCACCTGCCTCCTTGGAGAAAAGTCGAGTACATGCGAGCCAAATGGCTCTCTCAATTCAGCAGAGCCTCTTCCCAAACCGACGACGTTTCGGACAAAGCCGATGTCAAGGAAACAATCGATTCCGGCGATGGCGGAGAGCTAGATTTGATTTTCGGCGAGGAAGAAACAGCTTCGTCGGTGGAAGTTAACGTCGGTAAGACTTTAACGGTGACTACGTGGCAGCCGCCGGCGGTCAAACCGAAGAATGGAGAGAGAGAAACAAATATCGTCACCGGTTTGGCTTCTCTTTTCAAAGAGAAACCATTAAAAAAATTTGTTACTATTTTTACCGTATTAAAAAATTAATTAATATGTATTACAAAAATCGTATAATCTAATTTTTCCAATGTAAGAGGCAGTAAATCTATCACCGTTCATGTTGAAATAAATATAATTAAATCCTAATATTAGAAAAATTATTTTTCTAAAATGTATTAAAATTTAAAACACATGAGAATTTTAAATCATGTTTAAATTATATTTAAAACACGTGTTTAAGTATTACTATTTGAATTATATTTAAATTATGTATGTATTTTTTTACATTTATAACACATTCATTTTTTAAAAGGAATTTGTACTTTATTTTTCATATTTTTACTTTCTTTTTGTAGGATTGATTTCTTCCATTCTGACATCAAATAGACAAACCTTTGTCTAAGAAAGTGTTAATCTTAAAAATAATTTAATATATATATTATTTCGAAATTAATTTTTTGGTGATATTTCCAAAATCCAGAAGCACCTGAGCAACATTGATGGTAATTTTTATGATTCGTCTTTTTAATAATTTATGTGCAATTTTGGTACGTACTGTTTCTTGAGAGGAGAACAATGGAGTATGCATCTTTATTATTTATTTTGCTTTAAAACCATTTTCTCATCTTTTTAGGATATTGGATTTCAGTATTTATTATTTACAGATAAAACTCTATAAATTAATAATGTCAGGACCGGAGAAATTTATTAATTTAGAGAGTTATTAATTTATCGATAAATTAATAATTATTAATTTGAAAAGTTTTTAAGTAATTATATTGTACATATCAAATTAAAAGGTAAATTAGTCTATGCCTCTTAGAATTACGTGGCAAGAGATGAGTTAAATTAATAGTGAGCTCTAAATAGACTTGAACTTTAAAGAAAAACAGACAACTATTGAATCATATTTCAATAGTGTAATATATTTTTTTCAGTTTCTATGAATTATTAATTTATGATTTTCTAGAGATCGAAAATTATAAAGGGATCTCACGAAAAATTATTATCTTATTATTTTATCGAGTTTTTCAATTTTTTACATTGGCCAAAGTCGGGACCAGACAAATTTATTATTTTAGAGAGTTTATTAATTTACCGAGTATTAATTTAAAGAGTTTCTACTTTATATACTTTTAAATGATTAACGAGTATCGCTGTAAACGAGCCAAGTCAAGCTTAAATATCGCTTAACTCGACTCGACTAAAAAAACTCTAAAATGAAGTTCGACTCGATTCGAAAACTCGCAAGTCTAAAATTTTCAAACTCGACTCCAACTCGAAATAATAAATTGAAGCTCGTAAAAGCTTGAAATGAAAAAAAAATAAACTTAATTCGATTGAAACTTAAGCTCAAACTCGAAATTAAGTCTAAATACATGAAAATTTTATATTATATTTTTTAAAAAAATCAATACATAAATATTAATATTATTAATAATTTAATTTTTTTAAAAAGAAAATCTTGATATATCATATTTTTAAAATTTCATGATCTTTTTGAGTCGAGTATCAAGTAGCTTGTTTCGACTCGAGTTCTTAACGAGCCGAAACGAGCTACTTGATAGTCTACTCAAAAAGATCATGAAAACTTGAAAATATAATATATCGAGATTTTTTAATTAAATTATTAATACTATTAACATTTATGTGTCGAGTTTAAACCTGAATCAAATTCATTCAATTCGATTATTTATGAAACTTCAATTGAATCGATTTTGAAATAACTTATTATATGTCTCATCTCAATTTAGAACCGAGGCATTTATTTACGACGGGAATGATAAAGCACCCCTCGTGGTGTCTCAATCTTCGAGCATAAAAAGATGGATATTGGGCAAATACTTTATTATAATATTTCTATTTTATGTTAAACATAACATTTCTAAAATGTATATTGATAGTTTAAAAAAACTAAAATGTATATTGAACATAATAAATAAAGTTAGGGTAAATTATGTATTTAATATCTAAATTATTAGTTTTAGTTCATTTTAGTTCATAAACTTTTAATTTTTTTCAAAACTATACAAAAAAATTAGTTTTTGTTTCATTTTATTGCACAGTTCAAAATTTAATGTTAAATTTTTTTTTTTGAAAGTTTAGGTACTAGGACGAACCGAAACTAACAGTTTAGGTGCTAATCGTGTTAAGTTATTAACGGTGAGGTACTAAAATGAAACAAAAACTAAATGTAATGCATGTAGTTTATTAAATGCGTAATTTACCCATAAAATTATTAATTAGTAAATGTTTTTGATAAACTAGTATAATAACTTGTTTAATCAACATATCATATCCTAAAGTTTGTTTTTATGTAAAATGGTTACCTTTTGTTTAATTTTATAAGTAAATATAGAATAGGGTAAAGTACACAAATGGTCCCCTGACTATATGATGTTGCTTTTTTAATCCCCCAGCTATTAAAAGTTATAAAATGGTCACTCGACTATTCATTATATTCCAAACTCGTCCTTTCTCGTTTAAAAAAAAAAATTGATGGTAGTTTGAGCTAGACGTTAATCAGTTGACTTGGATATAATAGTCCTTTGAGATTCTGGGATCATATTATATAATATCTTAGTCAACAGGTTAATGTCAAACTGCCATCAATTTTTAACGGAAAATGACGATTTTGGAACACAATGAATAGTAGGGTGATCACTTTATAACTTTTAGTCAAGGGACTTAAAAAGCAATGTCTTATAGTTGGGGTACCTTCATAACTTTTAATAGTCATAAAACTCAATAAAGCAACATTCAATAGTCAAGGGACCATTTATGTACTTTACCCTTTAGAATATTACTTTCTTTACTTACTTAATAATATAAATACTGATATATTTTATTTTATTATTTTTAACGCATCATGAGAATGATAGAATCGGTGGGTCTTCTTTAATTTTCTTTTGTTGTCTTTATTACAAAGGGAAAAAATGAAATAATCAAAGTGCAAATTGCCCAAGTTGGATAATAATAATGTAACGTCTCTATGAAAGGAACCCCTCACTAACAATACCCTTTCTTTTCCTTCAGAAAGAAAAATAATATAATAAAATATAAAATGTTTAATTTATTTGTAGTTTAATTTAAATTAGATTCTTTAAAAAATTAATTAGATATTTTTCAAATATTTTTTTAATCATTTTTAATACATAATCCATGAAAACTTTAGTTTTCATAAATAAAATTAATTAATAATAATATTTTTATCTTAATTTTTAACACATTCACCATATTATAAAAATAGATTTATTGAATAAGTTGGTGAATTTTTTTAAATTAGATAAATGTATAAAAATAATTTTATTTCGCTTTTTATCTACTATGATTATGGGGTCTTCTATTTTGGTGACGTGTGGTCCTCCTTTGGACCCTTGCCCTATTTAAATTTCTTTTAATTTTTGCTTCTTTTTTCCTTTACTTTTCTTCTTCGTATGTTTATATTGTAGATTATTAATCTAACTAAATTTGTCATTAATCTAACTGAATTCCCCATGTGTAAAATTCGCACTGAAGAAAGATGTTGAGTTAATCGATCGACGGAATCGGCCAAGAGGGGGTGAATTGGCAATTAAAAATTTCGTGGAAGCTTTTGCAGAAAAATTGAAAGTAATTACACAGCGATTTACAGTGGTTCGACTTTCTCAAACAAAGTCTACGTCCACTACCTTAGCTATCCACGCTAAGGATTTTCCAACAAATTCACTAATTTGTTCTTTCTTTTGAGGCCAAAGAGATAACCTTACAAAATCCCTCAAGAGTATACCCCAACTCTTGAGAACACTCTTTTTCCCAAAGAGAAGATTACAAATTTGCAAACTTACAAGAAAACCTCACAAGGTAAGATGTTTGCACAATTCTAGAACAAGAAAAGAACACTCAAAGATAATTACAAATGAGCACAAATGGTGTTCTTGAAAACAAAATGAATATTGAAAGGAAAATTGGCTTGATTTGCATAAACTTGATGTTTGATGCTTTCTCTCTTGTTTCTCTATGATTTCTTGTTGATCAAGGGCTTCAGAACTTGTTTAAATACACCTTGAATCTCTTTTGAACGTTGGGGATGATTAGTGAAGATCATATAGCCGTTTTAGTGTGAAAACAATTAATAAAACAGTTTGGAGCGTGGGGGGAATCGGTACCCCCTATGGGGAATCGGTTCCCTAAGTGTAAAATTCAAATATTTCGACCGTTGAACAGGGGGGAATCGGTACCCCCTATGGGGGAATCGGTTCCCTCCGAGCATTCTGGAAATCTCGGAGCTAAACCATTCAGGGGGGAATCGATACCCCCTTGGGGGGAATCGGTTCCCTCTGAACAATCTGAAATTTTTTTGGCTTTGAAATGGTTCGAAATACTTTGAAAGATTATTTTGAAATTGTTTTAAGATTAAAACTTAATTTTACACTTAAGTAAGGATTAAAAATGATTTTTGAAATATTTTGAGTAATGTTTTGATATTCGAATAATTATATCGAATATACTTAGAAAATCATTTTGGAAAATCTTAAAATTCATTTAACTTAATTTGTTATATCGAAATATCAAAATGTTTTCAACAATCTCCCCATTTTTGATATAACAAAACATTTTAGTAATTTTAAGATTTTGAAATCAAGTTTTGAAATTACTCCCCCTTACTTTAACACTTCTCCCATTTATCATTTAAAAAAAACACACTTAAAACACACTTCTCCCCCTTTTTGTTAAATCAAAAAGATTCAAATAAACGTGAAAAATATTAAGCCAATTGATTAGGTATATGTATGCATAAGCTGCTAAGATCACAATTAAGAGAAACGTTAGCCATTAGTTCCGTAATCAATATTCATAAATAATGTGATATGGCAAAATTGGTCATATTGCTAATAATGATGTAAATGATGCAATAATAAATAAATCACACCAAACATATAAGTTCAAACCATCCATAAATCCAAACAAATTCACAATCCTCAAATTCAAACATCCCAAAATATTCAAAATGTTAAAACAATAAGTTTGGAAAACAAAGTAAAACATTTAATCATATATCCGGATCAGGAGGAGGAAAACGAGCTCGCATAGCGGCCATTTCG